GGGGGGGGCACCTGGGGGCAGGAGGGGGGTCACAGGGGGGTCCCAAACCCCCCCAGCCCCCCAAAACTGGGGTAGGGGATGGGGAGGCCCCAAAATTTGGGTATTGGGACACCTCCCCCCCCCCCCCCCCAAATTGGGATCCAGAAATGCCCAAAAGTGGGGTCTGGGGACACCCCTCCCCAAAATTAGGGTTCAGGGAACCCTCTCAAAAATGAGGTCCAGGGATGCCCAAAATTGGGGTCTGTGGACTCTCCCTCCCGAAAATGGGGATCAGAGACCCCCCACCCCCAAAATTGGGGTCCTGGGTCCCCCCCACCTTGAGCTCCTCGTCAGGACCTTCCTCCTCCTCCTCCTCATCTTCTTCTTCCTCTGGCTCTTCCTCTTCCTCCTCCTCCTGGGGGGGATTCTCGTCCAGGGAGGGCTCAGGGGAGGTTTGGGGGGGCTCAGCTTGGCCCGGGGGGGGGGGGGGGGGGGCAGACCCCCCAGTTTTTGGGGCCCCCCCCCCCCCCCCCCCCCCAAGTTCAGGGACCCTCTCAAGTTCTGGGGACCCCCCCACCAAGTTCCCCAAAATTCAGGGACCCCCCCCTCTAGGGCTCCCCCAGGTTCTGGAGACCCCCCCAAGCCGCCCAAATCTGGGGGGCCCCCCAAACCCACCCGTGGCCGGAGCCGCTCCCGGACGCTCTCCCAGATCCGCTCCCGGAATGTTCCAGAATCCACGGCACCCCCGGGCCCCAGCAGTGCCTGGGGGAGGTCAGGGGGGTCAGGGGGGGTTGGGGTCACCCCCCAGGGGTCCCCCCAAATTCGGGGGAGGGGTTTTGGGGGGGTCCCACCTCGGCCTCAGTCTCTGAGAAGGCGCCATCACCGTCGGGGTCCAGCTCGGGATGGGTCTGGAGCTCAGCCCCCGTCAGCCTGGGGGGACCATGGGGTTTCAGGGGGGCCGTCAAACCCTCTGGGACCCCCTGGGCCCCCCCAAGCCCCCCAGACCCACCGTCCATCCCCGTCCGTGTCCAGCTCAGTGAAGGCTTCGGCCGCTCGAGCCTCGTCCTGCGCCGCCGCCGCCGCCGCCCTTTGCTCTTTTGGGGGGCACACCCCGATTTGGGGGGTCAGGGACCCCCCTGGGAGGACACAGCGGTCCAAGGGACCCCCAAACCCACCCGGGGGGACAGATGTCTGAGGACGCCCCAAAATCCACCCTCAAGTGTCTCCCTCCCAGGAAACCATGGGATTGGTACCTACAGGGACCCCAAACCCTTCAAACCCTCCTGAGCCCCCTCAAACCCCCCCACAGCCCCAAATCCCCACCCACCCCCAAACCCTCCAGGCCCCCCCAAGCCCCCCAAGCCCCCCAGACCCCTCCAAAGCCCCCCTTACCCCCCCATTTCCTGCGGTGCTCCCCCCTGGCCGCCCGTTCGGGGCCTTCCGCCGCCTCCTTGGCCGCCCGGAGGGTCCCCACGCGCTGCTCCAGCTCCTTCCGGGACTCCTGCAGCCCCCCCAGCCGGGCCTGGGAGGGGAGAGACCCCCAAAATTAACCTACAGACCCCCCTGGAGACCCCCAGACCCCCAAAATCACCCACAGCCCACCCAGAGCCACCCTAGCCAGGCCGGGGGGGACATCAAAAACCCCCAATATCCCCCCAAAATCCCCCCCCCAAACCCCTCTGTGACCCCCCAAGCCCCCCTGTGCCCACCTGCTTGTCCCTTCTGCCCTCGGCCGCCTCCTGCACCAGCCGCTGCCGCAGCACGAAGCCCTCGCGGGCCAGGGCGGCCAAACGCTGCCGGGCCTCGCGCTCCCGCCGGCCCCGCTCCCTGCGGGGACCCCAAAAATCAAGGGGGGCACCCCCACATCGGGGACACCCCCCGGAGCCACTGCCAGTCACTCCCAGTCAGCTCCGATCAGTCCCAGTAATCTCCCAACCCTGTTGGGCCTCGTGTTCCCACCCCAGTGCCCCCCAGTCCCTCCCCACTCCCTCCCATTTCCCCCCAGTCCCTCCCAGTGCTCCCAGTCCCACCTGCACGTGTTCTCACACCCGGCCCCACTGTCCCACTCGTCGGTACCATCGCAGCAATCTGGGGGGGCACAGGGGGGGTTCAGCACCTTTGGGGACCCCCTGATTCCCCCCAGACCCCACCAGTGACCCCCAAAACCCCCAGGACACCCCAAAAACCCCCAGGACCCCCCACCCACCCCCTGGGACCTCCAAACCTCCCCCCAAAGCCCCAATTCCTCCCTCCAAGTCCCCCTAGGGACCTTCCCATTCCCTCTGGGGGAGTCCCAATCCCCCTGAGTGCCCCCCCTGACCCCTCCAGTGACACCCAGACCCTCCCAGTGACACTCAGTGTCCCCCCGGACCCCCCGAAGCCCCCCAGACCCACCACAGACTCCGTCGTTGACGTGGGCTGCGGGGATGGTGCGGGGCCGGTGCCCGGCGTTGGTGCAGTGGAAGCGCCCGTTGGGGCAGGCGGGGGTCCCTGGGGGGATTTGGGGTGTTAAACCTGATCCCCCCGGGGGGGTGTTGGGAGAGAGATTGGAGACCCCTCCCAAAATCTGGGGGGGCAGGAAGGTCCCCGAGGGGCTTTGGGGAGACGTTTTGGGGTCCCAAAGAGTCAGGGAGGGTCTCTGAGGGGGTCTCTGGGGGAATCCTGGGGGTCCTGGGGTGTCTGGGGTCCTTAGGGGTCCCAAGAGTCCCAGTGGGTGCAGGGTGTTCAGGGCTGGTTTCTGGGGATCCCAGAGGATGGGGGCTGTTTGGGGGGGTCCCTGGGGGTTCCAGTGGGAGGGAGATGATTGAGGGGGTCATGGGGGGGTCCTGGGGGGGTCCTGGGGGTCTCACCAGGCTCATCAGACCCCTCCCCACAGTCACTTCTGGGGGTCTCTGAGGGTCCCAGCAGGTGTGGGATGTCAGGGGGGGTTTCTGGGGGTCGCAGAGGGTGGGGGCTATTTGAGGGGGTCTCTGAGGGTCCCAGTGGGTTTGGGGTGGTCTCTGGGGGTGCCAGGGGTCTCACCAGGCTCGTCAGAGCCGTCCCCACAGTCGCAGTAGTCGTCGTTGACCCAGGAGAAGTCGATGGTGGCGGAGCCGTCGAGGCACCGGAACGGCCTCGAGGGGTCGTAGAACGGCAGATCTGGGGGGCACGGGGGGGGGGGGTCAGGGGGGCACGGGGGCATCAGTGGGGCCAGGGGGCCTGGGTGGGTTGGGAGGGGGGTCAGGGGGGACATTTAGGGGTTGTACGGGGTCCTGGGGGAATTTGAGGGAGGTTTGAGGGGGATTTAAGATGGGCTTAGGGGGGGCTCGGGGGGTATTTGGGGTGTTTCTGGGGGTCTCACTCACTGGTGAGGACCACCCCTGGGGCCATGTCACCGTCACCTCAGGGGGGCCGGGTGCGATTTGGGGGTTCGGGGTTGGTTTGGGGGTTCAGAGTTGGTCTGGGGGTCCAGGGGGGGCTCAGGGGGGTTTGGTGGTCTCAGGGGGTCCCACTCACTGGTCAGGGCCACCCCCCGGGGCCGTGTCACCATCACCTCGGGGGGGCTGGGCAGGGCCGGGGGCAGCAGCAGCAGCAGCAGGACGGGAGGAAGGGGCACCATGGCAGGGCTGGGGGGACACACAAAATTGAGAGACCCCCCCC